ACCCAGAGCCACAAGGCCTCCCAGCTCCGGGATCAGCTGAGCAGCGAGGTCTCATTGCCCCGGTGTCAAGCGGAGCCGCGAGGCCTCCCAGCACTGGGATCAGCAGAGCTGTGAAGCCTCCTGGCCCCTGGAGCAGCATCACGGGGCAGCACCCAAACCCCAATTGCCCGGCACTGTATGTGAAAGGGGGTGGCTCTGCAACCTCCCCATCGACCCTGCCTTGAGTGTGACGGGGTGGTGCCCCAACCCCCCAATCAGCCCTACCCTGAGCGTGACTGAGGGTGGTTGGTTTTACAAACTGGCTGTGCCATTTTGCTTTCTCCTCAATAGTGCATCAGAGTTTGAGTCTCTTTACATCCTCACCAGCATTTGGTATTAATAATGTTTAAACATTTAGCTGTTTTAATAGATATATATCTCATTGTGATTTTAATTTGCACTTCCCTTACATGATTAATGTTGTTGAGCATCTAGGTAGAAAATAGCTCTAATTCTCATCTGTATTCCTGTATGTATGATGCTTTTTTTCCCATTAGTGGTCAAGATCTTTTTATCTTTTGTCTCAGCAGTTTGACTATTATTCTGACATCTGGTATTTATTATATTTACCTTGCTTGTTATTCTCACATCCTCTTTGATCTGTGGCTTAGTGTCAATAACTAATTCTAGAAAATTCTAAGCCCTTATTTTAAAAAGTATTTTGTTGCAGTTAGGCATCAATCAGGCTGGCAGGGGAGCGGTTAGGGAGCAATCAGGCTGGCAGGCAGAAGCAGTTAGGGGCAATCAGGCAGGCAGGTAGGCGAGCACTTAGGAGCCAGCAGTCCCGAATTGTGAGAGGGATGTCTGACTACTGATGGCCTAAACTGGCAGTCAGACATCCCCCAAGGGGTCCCCGATTGGAGAAGGTGCAGGCTGGGCTGAGGGGAAACCGCCCACCCCCCAACGAATTTCATGCACCAGGCCTCTAGTTTTTATATAATAAAAGGGTAATATGCAAATCGACCAAATGGCGGAACGACTGGTCACTATGATGTGCACTGACCACCAGGGGGCAGATGCTCAATGCAGGAGCTGCCCCCTAGTGGTCAGTGCACTCCCACAGGGGGAGCGCCGCTCAGCCAGCAGCCCAGCTCAGCAGTGGTGGTGGGAGCCTCTCCTGCCTCCATGGCAGTGCTAGGGATGTCTGACTGCCATGGGGAGTGGGCCTAAGCTATCAGTTGGACATCCCCCGAGGGCTCCTGGACTATGAAAGGGTGCAGACTCGGGCGAGGGACCCCCTTGCCCCCAAGTGCATGAATTATGAATTTCGTGCACCAGGCCTCTAGTTATTTTTATATTGATTAGTGTATTTAGGTTTGGATCAATAAGTTTTTTTAAAAAATCCTCACCGCCCGGAAATTTTTTTCCATTGACTTTTAGAGAGTGTTGGAGGGAGGGGGATAAAAGGGGGAGGAGGAGAGGGAAGAGGGAGGGAGAGAGAGGGTGACACCGACATGAGAGAAACACATCGATTACTTGCCTCCAGCACATGCCCCAGTCAGGGCACAGGGATGAACCTGCAACTGAGGTACATGCCCTTGACTAGGAATCAAACCTGGGACCCTTCAGTCATGGGCCAATGCTGTAACCACTGAGAAAACCAACCATAGCCAATAAGGTTTTAAAATCTTTGCATTAGTGCAGTGTCTAGAATAGTGGTTCTCAACCTTCCTAATGCTGCGACCCTTTAATACAGTTCCTCATGTTGTGGTGACCCCCAATTTCATTTGTTACAAATTGAGCATAATTAAATCATAGTGATTAATCACAAAAACAGTATGTAATTATATGTGTTTTCCGATGGTCTTAGGCAACCCCTGTCAAAAGGGTCGTTTGACCCCCAAAGGGGTCATGACCCACAGGTTGAGAACCGCTGGTCTAGAACAGTGTCAGTTCAATAAACATTGGTTAAATGCGTACATACTAAGAATGAACATACAATCAAATTATAATTAAAAATAACTATGGACTGTTTTTAAGATTTATTTTTTGGTTATTGTTATTTGTTCCTTAAATCAATCCAGCCATGTCTTTAATAAGGATAATAAATTCTGAATGCAATGAGGATAGTAAGATTCTATATAGTCAATTTTCATATTCATGGATTCTGTATTTGAAAATCTGCCTACTTATTAAAATTTAGGTCAAGAAGTCAACTTATAATTCAATAAGTCAACACTCATAGTGCTTTCACGGTCATTGGTTGACATGTGCAAAGTGGCAAAAAATCTGAGTTATCTGAGGTGCACAGTCCCAGCTGAAGTTAAAGGTAAAGCTGTGACTTATTTTAGCTCTCAATTCTTTTTTTTTTTTTTAATATATTTTATTGAGTTTTTACAGAGAGGAAAGGAGAGAGATAGAGAGTTAGAAACATCGATGAGAGAGAAACATCGACCAGCTGCCTCCTGCACACTCCCCACTGGGGATGTGCCCGCAACCAAGGTACATGCCCTTGACCGGAATCGAACCTGGGACCTCTCAGTCCACAGGCCGACGCTCTATCCACTGAGCCAAACCGGTTTCGGCTAGCTCTCAATTCTATAAATACTAGTAACTGTTCTTTATGATAGTCTATTTAGTGCAACGTTTTATGATATCTGGTGGTAATTTTAAAATGCCCGGATATATGGTGGAAATGCTATCTAGTGTTCCTAAGTGCAAGAAGTGCTCCTTACCGAGAGAATATGATAGATAAGCTTCATTCAGGCATGAAGTTACAGTGCTGTTGGCCATGAGTTCAATGTTAATGAATATACAATATACATTAAATAAGATGTCTTTAAACAGAAACACATAAAACAAACTTATGTACTGATTAGTTGATAAAAATATGACCAGAGGCTTCAAGGAACCTATCCTACCTTCTCCTAGAGTTTCAGTATTCACTAATTCAGTGTTCATGGAGACTTTAAAGAACATAACTGTGAATAACAAGAATCGACTGTATGTTTCAGATAAGTAACTATTCCAAAGTTGCTAAATAAAGTTACAGTAGAAAAGCAGTGTACACATTAGCAAAAGTATGTAAACTTTGTAGTCAGAGTAGCTATTTTCTAACTTAGTCACCATCTCTAACCGACTCTGTGAAGTCATGACATTTAATCTCTTTGTGTTTCAATTGTCTGAAGTGTGTGTGCACGCACGCACTGTGGTGATGAAGTAAAGGCTTGGCTCGCTTTCGAGAACACATCAATTTTCCACTTCTAAAACTGTAGTAAGAATACTCACTTATAAGAGTTTCTGCTTTTTCTTTTTCATTAAAATCTTGTGATTGGCATCCATATTGTGATTTAGATAAGAAGAGATTCTTGTGAGACCTAAATGAAAAATCAAAGCTTGTGACTGGTTCCACAAAGAGTATTATTTTTTCTCGGTCATTTTTCTAGTTTGGCCAGTTCCCTTTGATGCTCTCCTTGCTTAGTGTCCCACCTTAACCTATGGCCTCTTAAGGTTTTTTATTATCAGACTCCCCTTTCTCCCATCACTTATTTTCTCCATCTCATCTATTCAGAATGGAGATTCTTTTGGCCTTCAATTAGATAGATCAAGAAAAAAAATCCTCAGACCATAAAGCATTAACTTTCATTCTTTGCTATGGCTTATAAGTTCATTTCCCCAAAGAGAAATTTCAAAATTCCTTTACACATGATGGCAGGTATCATTTGACTGTCTTTATAGCTTCCAAAAAGGACTTTTCTGAAAGGTAAGCTGTTTGAAAATATAGGATGTGGAAGAATTTGACAACTCTGCAAAATTAGTATTACTCCAATATTATAAAGACGCAAACTATAATGAAAAAAGTTCACCTAAGCTTATGCAGCTATTATATCACCACCTAAAACCTCTATTTTCTCCCCTGTAAGTGCTCTATATAACCTGCTAATCCTTTCCCTCCCTCCTGTGCTCTCTGGAATGCCATTCCAGCCTCTTCACCAGTTACCCCACCTCTTTGCCTTTTTTAACATGTAGCCCCCGCTTAGGGACAATTTCTCTCTCCTTTGTGGACTTCTCAAGTAGAGACTTAATTTTCTGCCTTCCATGAACCTCGGGTCCCAGAGGTGGATCCCTCTACTTTTCATTTCCTAATGAATGCCCCTTTCAGGATCCTGCTTCCACAGAGACCTTAGCCAGTGAGGACTTGTGCCACTGAGATGCACCACACCCACCACCTACTATTCTTCAGTCAACCGCTATCCTTCCAAGCACTTCCCATCATCAGATCTCTCTGTCTATCCCTAATTGCTGCTGTTATCATTAACTATTTCAGTGTTCTCGTAGGTAACGCATATAGCATCCTGGCCTCTCAATTTCTCATTCCCAATGAGCTCCTGCCCACCAGGTCAGCCACTCCAAACACAATTTCAGTCAGCATCCGACTTTTCTATCTCTGAAATTATTCATGCAGACTTTCTGCTCACTGAACATGTGACATTGTCTATCACAGCATTTCTAATAGGTTAGTTTTTCAAGTAATTTAATAAAATTGGAATTTGAGCCCTGGCTGATGTGACTCGGTTGAGTGTTATCCCATGCACCAAAAGATTGCCAGTTTGATCCCAGTCTGGGTGCATACAAGAGGCAACTAATCGATGTTTCTCTGTCTCCCCCCCGCCCCCCGCACCCCTCTAAAAAAACATGCTTTTTAAAAAAAGCATGCTTTAAAAAAATCAGAATTTGGGATACTCATCAGAAATGTAACTTCCATCCTTCTCCCGCTGCAACATCATATTCTTATTTCTATGGCAGAGGAAGAGTTTGCTACACACCTGCTTTCAGTTCAAGTACTCCCTATGCGTGTATTCCAATAATGGCCCTATAGAAACAATGGGAAACAACCTGGGTCCCAGAGGCACGTCTCTATAGTTTGGAATTTCAGGACATGTCAGGGTCTTGAATATCTGCTGAGGTAAGTAGGAACAGGCAATATTTTTTAAATAATACCATTTTTTAATAACTAGGCAGTTATTATGACCTGTCTAGGTTCTGCATGAATTCCTAAAGGGATTTTAAAAATGGAGAAGAAATGATGTCTATTTATTTACCTTACCTCATTAAAGATACTGTATCCCGTGAGGATTCAGTTACTGCAGATGGTTTGTTATTAACACTGAAAGGAAGAAAATAATTATAAGAATGCAATAAAAGTAAACATTTCATAAGAACAGTCCTTTCTACCCGGCCAGGTAGCTCAGTTGGTTAGAGCATTGTCTCGACATGCCAAGGCTGTGGGTTCCATCCCCAGTGAGAGCACATATAAGAATCAACGAATGAATGCTTAAATAAGTGGAATAACAAATTAGTATTTCTTTCTGTCTCTAAAAAAAGAAAAGAAAAACCAAAACAAAACAGAATAGTTTTCACGCAGTCAATTTATTAAAAACTTCAGTGCATAAAAACCATCTTTGTGAAAGAAATCCTGATAACATTGGGCTATATATTTCATTACAACATGACTAATTTTTGCCACCATTCTCTAACTGAACTTTATTTTATTTTCTGGGATATGTTTTTCCATTGACTTTTATACAGAGTAGAAGGGAGGGAGGAAGGGGGGGGAGAGAGAAATACATTGATGTGAGGGACACACATCGCTTGTTTGCCTCCCGCATGTGCCTTGACCAAGGTGGGGATCAACCCGGCAACCCAGGTCCTTGATCAGCAATCGAACTCACCACCCTTTGGTGTGTGGACCAATACTCTAACCACTGTGAAACACTGGCCAGGACTGATTATTTTATGAATCCTTCCCCTTTGTGATAGTTAAAATCAGCTCCCACAACACAGCACCACCATTACATCACCACGGCTTCATGGCAACTATTCTCTCCTGAAAAGATACTTCCTCTTTCATTCACCTGTAAAAATCCAAACCACCCTCCAAGGCCCTACTCAGTGCTCACCCGTCCTTGAAGCTGTCCGTGTAAAGTCTTTCAGCGTGTAAGTCCATCTGCACACTAACAAGTTAGGTAATGTCTGTGTGTTTCACGTCTATAATTCTGATGGCCTCCAACAGTTTATAAGCTTTATCAGAGCACAATATTTCATCCAGCACTGGTAACACAAGGGCTTCATTTTTTCCTAGCATTTGTATGACCTTGCAGTCACAACTCTGATTCTATTTGCTTCCAGGAGAGTTTTGCTAGTTGCTTGACTCTTGATCTCTACTTTGTGTCTAGTTTTGGTTTTGCTCCCTATGTCTAGTGCACTGCAAGTTCTAATGTATACCTGGTAATGAACTAGGTACCTTGGATACAAAGCTTATTAAGAACCTCTAAAGAATTCTCAATCTAGCGAGAGATATAGGCGGGTAAACAAATATGTTACTGTACAAGGTAAGTCCCTTCACACAGGTGTGACTCAGTGCTATGGGAGCACAGAAGTGACAACTCTGATCAGAGAGCACAACGAGAATTCTTGTAGATGATCTTTGAGCTAGACCTTGAGTGGCAAGTAAGAGATTGCCTTGAAGAGACTAGAAAGAAGGAAATTCAAAACTGAAGAGCCCTGGCTGGTGTAACTCAGTTGGAGTATCGTCCCATGCATGGAGAGGTTGCTGGTTCAATTTCTGGGCAAGGGCACATGCGTGGGTTGTGGGCTCGATCACATCATTGATGTTCCAATCTCTCTCTCCCTCTCCTGTCTTCTCTCTGAAATCAATTAAAAAACAAAAAAACATTCCTTGCTGCCCTAGCCAGTTTGGCTCAGTGGATAGAGCGTCAGCCTGTGGACTGGTCCCGGGTTCAATTCCAATAAAGGGCACTGACCTCATTTCTAGGCTCCTCCTCCTCCCAGGCCGGGGTCGGGGCTCCTGCAGGAGGCAATCAATCAATGTGTTTCTCTCACATCGTTAGTTCTGTCTTTCCCTCTCTCTTCCACTCAATGGAAAAATCAATGGAAAAACATCCTCGGGTGAGGATTAAAACAAAACAAAACACAAAAACTGAAGCAAGGATCAAGGCATGAAACAGCTTATAATATTTCAAGATGAGGGAGAAGTTCTGGCTGCTAGAAAGTACCATGTATGTGGACAAGGAGGGGACAATATTATGAAGAAAAAAAAAGACAAAAGCAAAACCAGAAAGGGGCTATGTAAAGCCCTGTAAGCCATGCCAATAAATTATAACTCGTCTAGTAAGAAGAGAAAGCCAACAGAGGTTATTGTGAAGTGATTTAGACAGACGTGCTTTCATGGGAAGCTAACTCTGGAAGTCATGCCAAGGATGGATTTGTGTGGTACAAAGCTAAGTAATAATCTAGGAAATCTATCTATACTAATAAAAAGGTAATATGCTAATTAGACTGAACATCTTCCGGACATCCTTCCGGACAAAGCCATGGTGGCAGGGCTGAGGCAGAGGCGGTTAGAAGTGATCAGGCAGGCTGGGGAGAGCAGTTAGGAGGATCAGGATGGCAGGGGAGAGCAGTTAAGGGTATCAGACCATCAGGGGAGAGTAGTTTGAGGGATCAGGCCAGCAGGGGAGAGCAGTTAGAGGGATCAGGCCAGCAGGCAGGTGAGCAGTTAGGTGCCAGCAGCCCTGAGGGGTCCCAAATTGGAGAGGGTGCAGGCTAGGCTGAGGAACTCCCCGCTCCTGTGCACGAATTAGGGGCAATCAGGCGGGCACATAGGTGAATGGTTAGGAGACAGCGGTCCAGGATTGTGAAAGGGATGTCCAACTGCCGGTTTAGACCCGATCCCGGCAGTCGGACATCCTGGGATCAGGCCTAAACCAGTAGTCGACATCCCCCAAAGGGTCCGAGATTGGAGAGGGTATAGGCTGGGCTGAGGGACACCCTCCTCCCGTGCACGAATTTCGTGCACCGGGCCACTAGTATATATATAAAAGCCTAAGTGACCGTCTGACCAGTAGCTATGACGTGCACTGACCACCAGGGGACAGACGCTCTAGTAAATTATAAGAAAGGATGGGTTAGAGAGACATTTCTGAGATGGGATTCACAACACTTGGGGAGGTAACTGGATGTGTGAGGTGAGGGAGTTAGGTTACAGAGAGCAGATGAGAAATCAACAATTCTGTTTTACACACTGATTTACTTTGTGTCTAGACATCTGAAACAAGTAGGTGGTATTATATAAGGAAGGCACATAGGATAGGTGTTCATTATCTGCCAGAATCGTGGTAAATCTTTATTTTAAAGCAGTATTACACTGGCAGGAAGGCTGGGCCATGAGAATGTATTAGGTATTAGTATTACTAAATTTTAATTTCCTAAATAAAATACAATAATTGAGTCAATAAAAATAAAACCTGGCCCTGGCCAGTGTGGCCCGGTGGATAGCATCTGAAGGTTCTTGGGTTCAATTCCCTGTCAAGGGCACATACCTGGGTTGCAGTTTCAATCCCTGGCCCTGGTGGGGGTGCATGTAAGAGGCAAGCAATTGATGTGTCTCTTACTTTGATGTTTCTCTTTCTCTTTCTTTCCCCCACCCCCACACCGATGGAAAGAATATCCTCCAGTGAGGATTAACAAAAAAAAACACAAATATAATGGCAAATTAAAAAAAAAAATTTAAATAAAATCTATACTTCTCAGAATGAGTCTTCAAAAAAAAAAAAAAGTCAATAAGAACTAAGACTTTGACAGTCTTTGTGGAGATGAGCCAGATCCTGTTCTGATAGTAGGGACAGGAGAGATTACCTAGTTATAAGATGACTGAGCTCAGTCCTGATGTGTGACCAAAGCTATGTCCATCCAACTTGTTGGATACCAATCCTCACCTCTAAATAAGTAGTTAAGGAGACCACAGAATGACTATCTTCTGGCCTTGAATTAAGGGTGAAATAATAGAGGGAATGGACCATAGATTCAATAGAAAAGAAGCTTTTTATAATAGAAGGGTTTATATTATTGACAGGGTTAGCTTCTAAAACCAAAGCAAAGGTAAAATCAATTGTGTAAGTCACCCTTGCAAACCCCTAAAGAAATAACTCTGGAGACTGAACTCTTGTCTCTCAATATGTACGACTAAACAGAGGTTTCCCTCAGCACTGGGGCAAATCACTGTTTCTTCAGTGGAGCAGCAGATGAAGCGGGCTAGCTTACCCTTAGAGAAGATGTATGAGCAATGTCTTTTTTAAAAAAAATATATTTTATTGATTTTTTACAGAGAGGAAGGGAGAGAGACAGAGATCCAGAAACATCGATGAGAGAGAAACATCGATCAGCTGCCTCCCGCACACTCCCCACTGAAGATGTGCCCGCAACCAAGGCACATGCCCCTGATCGGAATTGAACCTGGGACATTTCAGTCCGAAGGCCGACGCTCCATCCACTGAGCCAAACCGACTATGGCAGCAATGTCTTAAACAGTAGAATAACCCTCAGTAGTGTCAAAGAGTCAAATAACAGGGCAAGTGGGACCTGAGAACTAAGGGGCACAGATGATTCAGGTTTCTAACCTCAACACTGTTCCAGAGCACATGTCCTCTGAGAATGGTAAATGACATTACATTATTTAAACTGTGCATTTTCTCATTCTCTATTTTTGTTTGGCATATATAACAGAATTTTGCATAAACCATGAAATAAGTCTACATACGCCAAATCAACCAATGTTAATCATCAGCAAGACAATATACCCACAGCTCAATAATATTTTTATTAATAATGGCTCACTAGGAGAACCGAAGATGGCGGCATAGGTTAACACCAGAGATTGCCGCCTGGAACAACCAAGTCAAATTAAGCTTGATCCAGGGAAAGGTCAACGTCCAGAGCCACAGGAGGGCTGGCTGAGTGGAAATTCTACAACTAGGAGTAAAGAGAATATTATTTCCAGACTCAGAGGCGGCGCAGTGCTGAAGTGAAATTCTGAGGTACGAGTGCGCGCGGAGCAGGGCTGGCGGCGCGGCGCGGACGGCGGGGCGAAGGGAGCGGCGCAAACAATCGAGAGGGAGTAGCAGACTCTGAGCTCCAGATCCGGGCGAGTCGCTAGGGACGCAGACGGGAGAGGTGGGACGGACTGGCCTCGGTCGGAACTCGAGGGCAGCGTTCTCTCCGAGGTTTGCAGCGGTTGCTGAGACTTTGTGAGGCAGAGTCCCTTGGGACGGAACTGAGAGTCGCACAATCGGGAGGGAGTCGCAGCATAACTGCTCCCTCCCTGCAGATCCCCAGGGACCCGCTCCGCCCAAATCCTGCG